ACAAAAAAAAATAATAATAATAAATAAATAAATAAATAAATAAATTCTTTACGGAATCGCCGATTCACTGTTCGGACTCGCCGATTCCGTACAGTGAATCGGCGATTCACTGTACAGAATCGTCCGGTTCTCTCTAGAACCGGACGATTTCCGATTTTTTGGACGATCCGGTCCCCTTTTCACGATTTCCGAGTCGAACCGGGCGAGTCCGGTTCGACTCGGCGTTTTTTAAAACGCTGGTTAGAACTATTGAACCGGCCAATTTACTGGTTAGGCCAGTTGAACCGCTTCTAGGCCCATGTCCAATTAACCGTTCCGGTTCGATTTTTCCTACACTAGTTGAGATGATTGATTTTGAATGTTTTCTATCGCATGAACTATAATTTTTAGCAAGGATTGAAATTCTTTGTTGATGTTGGAAAGTAAGTGATTATTAGCAGTAAAAAATTTTGCTGTTTTTATTTTGTTCAAGGAGCTATTTGGTTGTATTGTGCGCCATATAATACCAAAATTCCAAACATCTATTTTATTGTATTATTTTCTCTAATTATGAACTTAAATTTGTTTTCATTTAGGGTTTAAGCTCTTGGCTTTAAAGGGACCAGCTTTTTTGTTTTTGGGTAAGTAAAAAGGCAAAGGACGAATGCTCAACCACATGAACAACATGCACACTAACCAGGGCGGCACTTCAGTGCTCATCGGTACCAGCTCTTCGTTATATGGCAACCATGTCATGAAATATCACTTTCATTGCTCTTAGCATTTGGTTATAGGTTGTTCATTTATTGTGTTTTTGTATTTACATGAAAGAATTTATCTTACTTTGGATTTACATGAATGAAACAATCTTGATTTAACCACCCGACTACAATGGTGCAACAAACTATGTTATATAAGGGGTTTTATATAAGGAAAAAGTTTATACATGGTCCCAACCTTAAAATGTAGAAGTAAGGTGGACCTCAAAAATCAATTAGAAAAAGTTGTTTTTGTTAAGAGAGACGAAACTGGCTTTAGTAATATTGTGTACGGCATTCTTTATTACCCGCACTTGTCTGTTGTGTATATAAATACCCTAATTTGTAAAGGGTTAGAGTGTTGAATTAATGAATACATGTTCATACCTCTCTCTCATTGTTCTCTCTAAGATTTCATATTCTATCATGATATCAGAGAGCTTATGGTCTTCTACTTCTCTCAACAAAAGTTTAAATTGTAAGTGCCTCATCTCTCTCTACAATATTGTTCTCTCTCTCTCCAGATTCTCTATCTATCGATTCTCCTCTCATCTATCTATAAGTGCTGCATCTCTCCCTCCTATATTTTTGTTTCTCTCACAAATGCTCTATTTATCGATTCTCCCCTCATCTATTTTTACAAAATTTAGATCTGCCTCCTATCTCCTTATTTCTTTGTAGAATTTCTTACTGCAGTAGCGTTTACCCCGTCTTGTCCTCTTTCGTGTATACTTTTCTCCCCCCTATTCCTTCATAAATTTTCTTGCTTTCTGTCTCCCTATTTCTTTTATCCTATCTCAAGCTTAGTTTATCCTCTCTCTCTCTTCGTTTGTCTTATCTTTCTCCCTACTTTTGTCCTATCTGTCTCTCGGTTTTTCTTCATCTTCAAAATCTTGGTTTGTCTTCTCTCTCTCCCTACTTTTGCTCATTTGTTTGTCTTCTTCAAAAGGTGGAAATTCGTTTCTCTTTGTATCTCCTTTCACCCAAGTGTTAGTTTGGCACATACAGTGCCGAAGTTGTTCCTGTTTCCTCGAGTAATACTTCGGCACACACACCCAAGTAATAGTTCGGCACATATAGCACCGAAGTTGTCCCCGTAATGCCAAATAGTAGTTCGGTACTTGAAATTTCCAAGTATTCTTGAAAGTTGTTTTCAAGTACCAAAGTATTTTCGAAAATCATCTAAAATCATCTTCTTGGTCATGGCCTCACTGAATTTTCTAGCTTTTATATTCATTAAGCTCAGCATCACTGAATTTTCTAGCTTTTATATCCATTAAGCTCAGCAGAGACAACTACCTCAAATGGTAGGCTCAAGTCATTGATTGTATTGAAGGCCTTGAATGTCATCTAGTTGGCCACAAAACGAATTTATTTATGAGGAACCAAAAGATCAAAGCATCAATCCAGAACCATCAAAGAACCCTAAATTTTTAGAATGGTCAATGAAAGATAAAACACTATTGAGTTGGTTACTTTCTACTATCTTGGATAACTTGCTCACTGAAGTAATGCATCTGAAGACAGCTCAAGAAGTGTGGGAGACGCGTTACAACACCTCAAAGGGAAACATTTACCAATGTTCTCCAACTAAAAACAACATTATCAGTTTACAAAAGGGCTCTCAATCAGTAACTGAATACCTGAACAAGTTCAAAACCGTATGTGACCATCTTGCTGCTATTGGTGGCCGAGTAAGTGATTAAGATATGGTCCTCTATACTCTCAAAGGTCTTGGTCCAAAGTTTAAATCCTTTGAGACCTACCTAATGACCAAACCTCAATTTCTATCTTTTTCAAAGCTTTGATCATCTCTCCTCACATATGAAGCTCGGTTTGTGTTTTCATCGATAGTTGAAGTAATCTTCAAGCTTTGGTGAACTCATCATCCGGACACATAGGGGGATTTGGTCGAGGACGTGGCCGTTATGGAGGTAGAAGAGGTAGATGTCACAACCAATATCGGCATGGGATTCTTGGAGCCAATACAGCTTCTCATCATCCTCCTCAGCCAAGAGTGGGTATGCCTCAACCAAGAATGAGTATGCCTCAACTAAGAATGTGTATGCCACATCGAGTAACTTGTCCGTATTGTGCGAGACCTGAACACATTGTTAACACACTGTTGGGACATTAAAAATGCATCATCGTCCCACGATGCGCTAGTGCATGATTTCAACAATCTATCAATCATTGTCCTAACCGATCGTTCTTGGGTTATGGACTATGGTACAACTGCTCATATGACAAATGACAACTCTTAACTTCGAGCTATGATTGATTACCATGGCCCTTGCATGGTATTTACGGAGATAGTACTGCCTTACCTATAACCCATATTGGCATTGTGTCTATTTCTACTACCTTTGGTCCTTTAAATGTCCCTAATGTTTTGCTTGTTCCTAAATTAAAGAAACAACTCATGTCAGTATTTCAATTTCTAAAGATTTTAAATGTTATTTTGAGTTTACCCCTCATGATTGTGTTGTGAATGATCTACAAAGTGGGAAGGTGCTTGCTGCGGGGGTGCTAAGAGGTGGCTTGTATGTGCTTCAAAATGATCTACTTTATGGTCATGTTATGACTATCTCCAAAGGTAGAGGATGAGCTGCTATTTAGTGGCATGAGCGCCTTCGTCATTCTAGTTTCACTACTATCAGTCGTCTTGAAAGATAGTTATTTCTAGCAAATTTTGTTGGTGACCTATCTTCTAGTTCATAGTGTTCTTCTTGTCAGTTTG